CAGTAAAAACAGTAAAAATGTGAAATATTATTACAATTTAAAGTAGCTCTTTTCTGTTTGAATATATTTGTTCAAAATATTTTAAAATGTAAATTCAAAGCTGAATTTTCAGCATCATTACTCCGGTCTTCAGTGTCACATGATCCTTCAGAAATCATTCTAATATACTGATTTGCTGCTCAAGAAACATTTAGGGTTATTATAACTGTTGAAAACAGTTGTGATGCTTCATATTTTTGTGAACATTGTGATACATTTTTTCATGAATCTTTGAATTTATTTGAAATAGATATCTCTTTTAACATTATAATAGTATATGTGAACATTATATATAATATGAACATTTATAATGTGTGTGTGTGTGTGTGTATATATATATATATGCTGTATGCTGTTTTATGGTAGCTTTAAATGTGGAGCACAAACTATCTGTATTTTTCTCAAACATATTTAAAAGAAAGCTTAAGGTTTGTCTGTTTTCATTTTTCTTTGTCATTTTGAGGAGGGATGTGCTGTATACATGCGATGTGCCTGATTCAGTGTTTTGTTGGGTATTTACTCTGAAGCAGGGTTTAAGCCTGACTACTCTATATGAGCAAACGCAAACACACACACACACACACACTAGAGTGGGCTAATCCAGATAATACCCCTGCATCTCTCCTTGTTTTCCAGGCCATCTGTTGGAAATGCCTGGATTTGAGCGTGTATGTGGGTCAGAGTGTGTGGGATCAGCCTGTATGGAAGTGTGTACATATGTGATCTGTGTGTGTGTGTGTGTGCGCGCGTTTTTGTGACAAATGAGGACATAAATTTGTATAATGACAAGGGTATGACATAGGTATTACAAGGAGAAGGTGACTTTTCAGGACATTACCCCATGTCCCCACTTTTCAAAACGCATATAAATCACACAGAATGGAGTGTATTGAAAATCTGAAATAGCACAAAGTTTCCTGTGAGGGGTAGGTTTAGGGGTAGGGTTGGTGTAGGGCAATAGAATATACCGTCTGTACAGTATAAAAACCATTACGCCTATGGGATGTCCCCACTTTTCACAAAAACAAACCTGTGTGTGTGTGTGTGTGTGTGTGTGTGTGTGTGATGTATTAAAAGCACCTCTGGCGGCTAGGAATAGATAGACCCCTTTCTATCTGTCTGTCTGTCTAAAATGTACTTTTGACTAAAATGGCATGTATGTTTTGATGATGAAAATAAAATTTTTGTTAATATGAAAAACGGTGTCAAACTGCAACAGACCAAACTTTAATCAAATGTTATTTACCTATCAAACATACAGGGTTTAAAAGATTTCTCTAAATATAATAATAAAATACAATATATAATGTGAAAACGGTCCTGAATGAACAGCACATACTGACGCATTAGCTACTGTTCTATTAGAGAAACAAACCAATAGACCTCAATTAGCCTGACTGTTTTCTTTAGTGTGTCGTCTGTTGTTTGATGGGAATTTGTGTGTTTGTTTCTGCAGGCAGAGATTGTAAAGCGGCTCAGTGCTATATGCACTCAGATCATTCCACTGCTGTCCCAAGAGGTGAGCACACACACACACACACACACACACACACATCCTCTCCGAGCTGCTCTCCCCCCGCGGGCTATTTACACATGAATTATTTACAGCAGAGGTGGTCATCAACAGAGAGCTTCCAATCGCCCACCTCTCCCTAGATCAATATTTCATACTGTTCTTTTCTAAGCCTCGCTGAGTGGATTCGGTTATTTTGTAATCGTAAGGCCCTCTGGGAACATCAGGCCTGCCACAGAGACAACAACAACTCTTTTCAGTTGACCTGCTGTTTGTGGCACATGCGCTTCTGCTTTGTTTGTGGTTTTTCACAATGAAAGGTGCTGTCGTGTAGCAGGTTTCGCCTCGGGTGTAGTTTTGCATGTTTGCTCTTGATCTTTGAATGTCTTCTCTATTCATGCTTCATGTGTGAATCTGTGTGTTCTTGCAGCATCAGCATCAGGTGGCTCAAGCAGTGGAAAGATCCAAACATGTTAGCATGGCCGAACTCAATGCTATCATCGGGGTGAGTCTGTTACATCAGTACAGTTTTCAGTCTGAGCAGTGGCAAGCTGGCCCTTCATCAGCCATTACAGTCAGCTCTCTACTGTCTCTCAGGGTTATTATAGTTAATTAAAACTATGATAGATAGATAGATAGATAGATAGAAAAGGTAAATTTATTTTAATTCAACTTGCTCTAAAGGAAACATTTCTCATTTTCATTTAGTTGAAAATGATGTACTAAAAGAACTAAAACTAAAAGTGAAATAAAATGATTAAAAAACGTATTAATATTTATATTATACTAAAAAATAATAAAAATGACAAAAATTTACAAAAATAGTAAAAAACATAAAAATAAAAACTTAATTCAAACTATTAATAAAAACTATAATATAATAGTATATCATTTATACTAAAATTGATTTTCAGATGTGGTCATATAATCTTTAGACATTTGGACATTTTATATATATATATAGATATATGTGTGTGTATATATATATATATATATATATATATGTATATATATGTATATATGTATATATATGTATAATAAATATATATTTACATTTACATTTAGTCATTTAGCAGACGCTTTTATCCAAAGCGACTTACAAATGAGGACAAT